AAAATTATCATCTAACTACTACCCAATTGTGTGAAGCCATGAATATTTCACTTTTCAAAACACTCTATCCGTGTCCGTTTTACCGCCTTCAGCCAAGCATCCTATCATGCTTCGACATTTTGTCTTATTTATACACATAAAGAGACGAGATTAACTATTAATCAGCGCCAACTCACGTGCTAATCTGGAATTGTAATACAAAATGGCACGCGTTTTTCAATTTTTCTTGTTTTGTTTAATTATCGTCACTCCTTTATTGTCTTTGCGTCATTCATAACGCAACTGCACGGAATAACCGATTTTGTTAGAATAAATCTTGTTATTTTAATGAAATAAACCCTCTTACTGTAGTAAGACAAACATTAACTCCGTATTTGACGTCGGGAAGTAAAACAGAGTAAATATTATTTTATTTAAATGGGAGATCTGTCATGCTTCAAAATGGCGGAAATAAGGACAGAACCTTCAATTCAGTTCTTATCCAGTGTTCAGAAAAACAAAACCAAAACAGAACATCATAATTTTTATGCATAATTACAAGAATATCGTTAAGGATTAGACGGAATGCCATAGAATGATTCGTAATGTAAAATATATAATAAATTGATAGATTTAGAAAATCTTTTCTATACACAATATTAACCTAAGAAGAAAGTTGTCTATTTTTGTTTCATAACATTTAAGTAACAATTCATAGATCAAGGAAATAATGTCCAATCATATTTATCGATTTCTTATGTACGAGGGTCGGCTGAAGAGTTCATAGGCTGACCAAGATACTCTTATAGAATGCGATCAAATGAGGATTATCATGCAATGCACACAATTATTCCATCGGTGTTGTAGTGCTTGGATGCCATTTTTGAAGGATTTTTCATCCTCTTGATCATATAAGTCAATAGCAGCAGATATGACGTAATCATCCCTGAGATACCGATTCCAAGCCAAGTGTTTGCTTGTTTTTTCAGGTTGAGGAACACATGATAATGCCCAAATCAGGAGAATAGGTATGGTGATAATCAGTTCAAAGCCACAATCACGTATAAGCAACCACTGAAAAAAAGAAATTCTGCGCCGAAGCATTCTCCTGATAAAAATAGACCCCCTTTCTTAAATTTTCCTGGACGTTTGGTCTTGATAGCCTTTTTTAACTTGGAAGTTGGCATAGTACACTCCAGTAATGGTGTAGCTATTTTGAAGATAGTCAATACCCACATGCATTTTTACCTCCTAAAAAAATGAGGCCATCACCTTCCCTGTAGATGAAGCGACTATGGACACATTTTGGAGAAGGGGAGGAGAGGGTGTTCCACTGCATTGATTTTCTGTTTGTCTCTGGCTCAACACTTCTCCTGGATTATCAGACCTTCATAAAACCAGCCGGATCTGCCTCAAACAATGTCAGATTTTCCATTGGTGTGATCAGCCTGGTACGCTTTTGATCAGGTGTCAAAAGACGTGGCACCCACCGAGCAGAAACCTTCATCATGCCAAATTCATTGTCCAGAATATTCTCAACCCTTTCACAGGATATGTTAATAGTATTGACTATTTGATTTATAGTCAATCACCTGTTATCCATCACCGTATAGTAAATACGATTAATATTTTCTCAGCTGTGGCAGTATCAACAATTCCAGACTTCTCTTTCCTAAATTCAGCTGTCCAATTTTGCACTGATTATAAAACTGAAGCGTCTTACCTTGATATAGCCACTATGTTAGTATGGACTAAGCTCTTGTTTCTGTAGGTACTTGATAACAACACAATGCCAAATGTTGTCCATTTTCAAATGACGTCTCTTCTAGTTACGTCAGATGCCATTTTATCTGAAGAGAAACAATAAGAAGAGTTGAAATTAATGTATGCAACTTTTTACAGCTCTGGCATCACTTCTTCATAGTCAGATGTGAACCTTTCATCCCTTCCTTAATGAAGAGCAGCAGGAAGGCATTGAACAGATTTTAAATGTTCTTTAAGATTTCACTGATTATGAAGTGGTATTATTCTAAATCCACGCCATTACAAGCGTTGAACTAAGTATTTCTCCTTTATTTGCCCTGTTTACAGAATATGAGCCCTTAGGGTCCTCCAACATCTTCCTAATTCTCTATAGCTTTTAACAGCTTTTGCCATATAATCCCTCCTAATCCGTGTTTCACCATCCATTTACTGAAGCTGATTAGTTAGGTTACACGATGATTTCCACTGCTCCTATTGATTTCTGTATATCTTGTGAGTATTCAATTCTCCAAGCCCTTCTTCCTTATTACGTGGCCTAGAAACGTTTATTGTTCATTTCTGATTCTAATTATAATTAAAAAGTGTCCTTTTGCTTCCATTTCCCTTACAACCTACTCCTTGTTTACATACTCCGTCGGTAGCATTTTTAGCATATTTCTGTATAAACAAATCTCTGCCGCCTCTTTTCTCCTCTTTATCTGTGAGGACATTGTCTAACATTTAATGCCATATTAGAAGATAGATCTTATATAGCAATTCAAACCTCTTTTGGCTTTGTTTCTAAAGATTTTTTCCTGTTTCTTAATATGTCCGGCTTTTGGGCATCATTCTTTACTATAAGTCTGTACGCCTGAGATTTGTGTCACTTTTCCGTCGTCTTTTCAAACACTTCTACGATACTGAAAGTTTGTACTTGCTTTATTTTGAAATGTCCGGCTCGCATCTTCAGCTGCCACCATTGCTAACAGCCATACATTTTGTCTACTTACAATTGTTAATTATTCCTTTCTCCTCAGTTTTTTTAGTGTGCCTAAGAACACCTACAGGGTTTTTTTTTTCCCTGGGTCTACAAACAAACATGATGTCATCCGTGTATTTTATGTTGTTACGACATTGACTGCCTGTAATAAATTCTGGTAGGACTTATTTTTCTCCAAATCATAAATAGATTCATGGTCTCATGATCACAGCTTCTCATCAATTATATAATTTTATGTTATTTTTCATTAATGAAAATTCGATTGTTGAAATCGGCCATTTGTCATTTAAATGAAAACATTCATTGTTGCTTCAATTTGATTTCGTAAAAGAAATGTTACAATAACGGTATATTGAGATACTCATAACCCAACTGATGCGCCAAATATCAGAGACTCGATATCTTCCTAACGTCTAACTCAACGAGGCGTAGAAATTCTACTTGGTATCATTTCTACAAGTTGTCTCTAGAGAGATATTGAGCTATACAATTTTCAAAACAAATCAGAGCATCATGGGATTAATGACACAGGGGCATAATTATGTTAGAATAAGCCAGTATTGTTGGTGTTTCATGAAGTCCATGAATGGTTACTGTTGAAACTTAACTAATGCATGGAATAATAATGCAACACAAAATGCACTTAGAACAAAATGTATTGAAACAAGAAAGTGTACACAATATTTACATATAGTCTCTTGTATATTCCTGGTAAGACCGTCCCTGGAGAATGTGTTGACTGAGTCGCAGTCGGGCAGAGTCTCTGGTTGAATCTCTTGATTCCTCCTTCTCTTCCCGGTACCAACCATATTTATATGGTCGGTACTCCACTATGCAAATTAAGTGGATCCTACCACAACAGTTACAAAGCTGTGCCTCAAGGTCATCTCCAAACACGTCTTGGTGAAGCTGCAGCTCCAACCTATACCAGGTGAATATATCCCACAGCATTATAGAATCACTTTTAGCCTGTACGGTGTCTTATTTACAAAAGGGTCCATAGTTTCATGTAGTCTTCAACACACATCAAACATATCTTCAGCATTGGATCTATGGCACATCGAAACAAGTCACAACTTGTCACTATCTCATGATCGACTTGGCGACGTCAGGATGTAGCGGTGTATTTGGAGTTCTGGTGTTAACTAGAGCTACATGGTGGCTCTCCTTCCCCCCTATTTCACTGAATCTAACTGCGGACTGAACCTGCTGAATATGATGCGTGGATGGGATTTGAGCCAATGTCACTTGTCTCTTGCCGCAGACTATTTTAACAATACGACTTTGATCCAAATATTTAAGGACATATTACAAATTACTGCTATGTTCATGATGAGCGGTTATGTCCTCCATCAGGTAGTCCTGGTATATATGTGACCCCGTAGAGTGAGGGATGTCAAGTGTCCTCATAAGTTCAGAAAACAATGTCCTGGTTATCTTTCACTTATTATCATACCTCGTTATTACTCCGATAAAACACATCATCTTTCCTTGAGAAGCATAGCCGTTGTATACGAAATGTCATGTCCCAACTGATACAGGTTTTGAGATTTCCATGATATTCAGATAAAGTGATGCCACGCATCAGTACCTTTGCATACAGATATATAATAATTGTGGGGGAGTCCGTGTACCACACTGCTCCTAATTACCGTAAGGGCCATCAGCGTGAAAATGGAATAGGCGAGCCGAGTTCATATCCTAGCCAAGGATGATGCTTTCACTTTGTTCTATGCCCTTAAAAAAATTATAAATCCCACTCTTCGCTTTTTAAGCTATGGATTCAATATCAGGGAAGTTTAGGCTTTAAATACAGTAATTAAAAACTTAAAATCCATAATACCAAAATTTAAAATGAATTTTTAAAAATGTCTTCTAGAAAACTTAAATGGCTTTTGGACATTAAATCCGTGGAAAATAAGTTGTCAGTTCTGTAACTTTCTCCTAATTCTATGTGAATCGTCTCTTCACTTATCTGAAACCCTTTTTCTCAATGATTTTTAGTTGACTGATTTCGTTTTTACGGCTTATCAACCCATTGCAGTTTATTTAAAAACAGAAAATATTTTAGATTGTGAGATTTTTTTATTTGAGATAATGATTTAGTAATACAAGTCTATAATAATTAACCCATATCTGGAGGGAGGGGAGATGCAATTATACCTTTCCCAAAGGTATTTTCGCGTAATTGAATATAACGAACCTAAATGGAATTGGAAATCGATTCTCTGAATAAAATTTCCAAGCCATTATGAATTACACTACACGCACTTCCAAGCTTACACCACCTGGTATTTCCGAGCGGTTACCCATCTAGGTACTGACCAGGCTCGACGTTGCTTAACTTCGGTGAACGTACGAGAACCGGTGTTTCAATGTGATATGGTCGTAAGCAATTATAAGTTGTGCATGATTAAAAATATTCTATAAAGTTATCTTAGATGATCATTTGAAACTATGGTTGAAGAAAAATCTAATCGACTTATATTTTAAATAAAATCTATGTAGCTCTCAATATTCGAAAGAGAAAGCTTAGAAAATCGACAAAAACCAAAACGATGATAACAAAAATAAACCTTGTACAAGTAGGCACATAATATCAACTCAATAACAACATCAACACAGATTGATTGATTAATTTTATTTATTTAACGGTATCTCAACTCCTTATGGGTCATTTAATAGTGACATTTAATATTCTTCGCAGCTTTAAGTAATAAAAATATGATATAAGTTATTCTGCTTCCACAGTTGAATTCATGGTAAATGATACTTAGCTTTTGTGCATACACATGTTAGTGTGGACATGATTACTAAAGGCAGAAGTATGTGTGTTTGGTGTTGTAGATTAGTTGAAGTTATATGAATTTTATATTAGTACTCTGACCTGGCACTATCAGATTATTACTTTTCTTGTACGGACCATGGTTCACCACACTGGATGAAGTTGAAAACGGATACAAAAAGTGTTTTGCAGCTAAACCAGCCAAATGGTACGAGTGTGGAATTGAGTTTCTGGCACAACGGCTGCTTACAATCAATCGAATACGATGGGATATATTCTTAAGAATAAACGCTTTTCGTGTATAATTCGCTTGAATATATTAATTAAAGTTTCAAATGCTAAAGACTTTTGAGTCAACCTGGTATATGAAAGTTAATCTGATCAAGAGATATCTAAAGAAGGTCGGGGCGTAGAACAAAAAAGTAGACATTAGTTAGAATATAAATAATGGTAATTCCTCGTCACAGAAATTTAGACAGAAATTAACTGATGTCGATATTTGTATTAGCATCTTGAATTTTTTGTTTTAAATCGAAATATTTGTGAAACCCACGATACGTTCTCAATATTGACTTATCTGTTGTTACATTGGTATTCAGTGATTTAATGTAGGCTTTCTCGGAAGGCAGCCGACGCAGTAAGACAATTTCTTGTTGGCTGAAGGCAAAGAGAACGTGGGTTCTAAAAGGTCTATTGTTCGTTGAGGTGGCGTTCGGATTGAAGACTTTACGGAGTGTGACAAATGAGGTAATAATGAAAGCCAGGTCAAAAGACGAATCGCCTGAGATGAGAGAATTATCACGTTGGAACTTCTCTGATGTACACGCGGGAATTAATGACAGGAGGTCGACAAAATTACCGTCCTAGGACCAGTTAGTTCAAACGTGATCAATGAGACTTAGATCAATAGAAGGGATCGATAAAGTATATACTTACTAGATGTACTGAACAACAGAATGTTACCATTATATGGAAATGTATATACAGTCTTTTCACTTCCGTTATTCAAATGAATGTAGGCGCATGCGCGAGTATTAATGATCTCAGGTCGTCACCAGTTCTTTCTGAAAAAATACTATTTCCGGTTCCAGATTTCAATGGATGTGTTCGAGCTCTTCAAAACATTTTTTTTTTATTTTCAGCCCACTCGAACAGATTTAGTTTCTTTTATTTTTCTCTATATATCAGTGATATTCTTTAGTTCTTCACCAGTACCCTTTCTTAGACAATCTTCATATATTGGATTAGCCAAAATGTTTTTTTCACTTTATTAAATAGATTTACTACACGAACTTCCTTACCAATTATTAGTCTCTCTCTCTCTCTCTCTCTCTCTCATGTTCTCATAAGATACTTTACTTAACAGTGCTTTTTCCTCCTATAAATATATCCAAGGAATTAGTCATCTAATACGAAAGTGATTCCGTCCCATTTTGCACTTTTCCGTAGAACTTTTTGTTTGCGTTATACATGTAATACCGAATATAGCACTGAACCTCCTTGTATATGTTCCTTCCATTCTATCAATCCTTTGTTAACAGAAATGATAGGCTTGAAAGAACGTCCTTAAAATACAGCTTTCTACTACAGCTAGAAAGAAACATATTTTCAAATGGTTTCTTCGACAATCCACATTTATTATAGTCGGCAGCCCTCTCGTCTATCACAGCGTTTCTTTCCTCCTATAAATGTAGCCAAGGAATTGTCCATCTGATTCCGTCATATTTTTCTGTTTTCTGTGGATTTCTTTTATTTTATTCTCTTTTCATGATACACCAAACAAAATATAACCCTGAACTTCTTCGTATATATTTCGTCAAGCCTATCATTCATCTTCTTTGTCCAAGCTCAGCTTTCAACACCGTAAAGAAACACACTTTCTACTGTAGCTCGAAAGAAACTTATTTTCACACGGTTTGGGTAATTCAACTTCCCTATTCTATTTATTTTGTTTAGTGCGACGCGAGCATGCGCAATTCTGATCCCTAGATCCTTGTCACTTGATGGAATCCAAGCAACAAGGTAATTGCAGTCATCTATTTGCTTCATCTTATTCCCTTCTAATATAATAATTTCACCCTCCCGTTGATTATTTAGCAGTTTAATGCATTCTGAAATTTACCTGCAATCCTACCGCTTCTGTTATAACCACTAATCGGAGAAGGAGACCAAAAATAGTTTCGAGTAAAATTATTCAATGTGATTAATATTTGAAAAAAAAAAACTGTTATCTTATTCTAAATGATTGGCTTTCAAAATGTATATTATTATTATTATTATTATTATTATTATTATTATTATTTCCTTTGATTTCTATTGTATACAAATTTCCTTCGGGGTCCCAACAAGGGACATAAGGTTAGAAATGGTTTCATGGAGTTTTCCACTGATCATTTTTTATAAAAAAAAAGCTTAAGATCATACACATTTTACATAGATAAAGATCTTCGTAAGGTGTGAGTCTATCGGGAATTTTTCCAGCCAATCCAATGGCCTCAACTGGAATTATTGATGTCCTCATGTGCCACATTTTTGACAGTTATTTTTCAATATCCTTGGGCTATTATATTATTATTATTATCATCCCATTATTATTTGAATATACATAATCAACCTGATATATATAACTTTTTGAATATCACACACACACACACACACACACACACACACACACACATCAATATATATATATATATATATTTATATATATATATATATATATATATATATATATTATAAATTGGCCTACATTGTTCTTACCATGTTGCAAAAACAGAAACTAAAACTGTAAATTCAATTATAGAATTAAAGTCCGTAGTCCTGTCTCATTTTCAAGCGAATTTTTTCATAACTTATTTTGAAATTTACTGATTTTATAAGCACGTGCATTCATAATATTAGTTTCTAACAAACGGGGGGTTTCAATATTTTGACAAGGGGTGGTAGGATATTCATTTACAACCTGACAACTATTGGATCAAAATTTGAGTCACTTATCGAAAAATTATTATTATTATTAAGATAATTTAAGGATGCATTTGTTTTGTTTCGTAAGCACTGTTATGTCATTTGGTATTTTGTGAGATGCATATCTGTAACAAAACCCCAAGATATGGATTTTTCATTAGATTATAAAAAAAGCTTAAGTCATATCACCGGCATCTGATAAAGACGCCGTGGTCACCATATTAATATATTTTGGTGCATTCATTTCAGAATGAATCTTTTACCCCAACAGACACGAAAGTTAAGTGAGCAAAATATTAAGGGATTTTCCTGATTCTTGTATCAGAATGTCATTATATTCTCTTCAGAATATATGAATTAAATCCAAAAGATAATGATTCGATTTGAAGGACAAACATTTTTATATATAGTATATTTGAATCATAAAAATAAAACAAAAAAAAACAACAATAAAAGCGATCATCCTTTTAGAAATGAGCAAATCCTGTTTCCCTAAAATGAAAGAAGAAAAGGAACCACAAAAATCTGGGAAAAAATGATGCATGAGAACGACATCGCGTAAAACCATTTCGTTTTCCTTCCAATTCTTGATATTTTACGTTTTATATGTGGAAGTCTTATAACTGATATTGTCATGAAAACTGGAAATGGAAAGCCGAGTTGAAAATCTAGCTTCGCCTCTTACGCTCACTTTCGCACGTTTTTTCTCTGCCCAACTATGTTTTAACAAGCAGAGAAAACTGAGCTCTCTTAAAGAACGACTCTGATTTCCAAATGAGAAATAAACAGAAACCCACTCCAATTTACGAAGAATGAATCGCAACTTATAGATAATAAAGAAAGGAATCTGAAAAATGCCATGGTAGCTTACGTCCTCAAAGGACATGACATTTTAATAATATACTATACGGGTGACATAATGGTTATCAGTGCGAAAAACGGTACCAGTTAGACAAGTTGTAATTCCGTCTAAGTCTGTTCATTTTTTTTTAATATTTGTTCAACACAAGATACAAAGAGCACTCAAAGTAAAGGCTTACTGGGTGTGATTGTTGTAAGGAAGGGGAAAGAAGGCAGTAAAAAGTTAATATTATGATGACGTTGGATAGATATCAGCAGATCCTGGATTTGAAGAGACCAAGATTGTAGTCATCAGAGAAGCATCCTCTAGGGAGTCTGTTCCACAAAATAACAATTCTAGAGAACTTGTATCTTATGAAAGAAACACTAATGGAATGATAATAATTTGCCACCGTGAACATGGTATCGCAATGTTACATGTGAAGGTCTGAACTGGTGGAACAATAATGCAACTTGTCCGAACATCTGCTATAGTAACAGGGATAAAGTAGTGGAAGGCTAACAACATTTTAATAATATACTATACTATGAATAAACGTTAGTATATAATATACTATACTATGAATAAACGTTAGTATATAAGTATGCAGGTATTTAAAAAAGTCTTATTAAAAAATGAAAGATGGAATTCAAAGGCAGAATTTTTAAATATGCTTTTCCTATCTGGGGTAAAGGTTGCAATGATGGCGGCAATGGCACGAATCTATATTTTCGAACCCATCTCCAGCTTTTCGTTTAAATGTCAGGACAGCCTGCACATATACACTTCTTGAAGACGT